TCTAAGGTGGTCCCCAACTAAATCTACCTGCCCTCCCTCCTCACTCCCCATATGTGCTCCAGATGGAGAATTCATTAAAACCCACGTGTGCATTATTTATTGTTATACATATAATGTATGCATTATACTTTGTTTACAATGAGTAAATACTCTATTTGTTTCTGGGGAGGGAAGTCATGTGAAGGACACTAGCATTTATTTGTGCTTTTTATGTGCTAAGCACTATGACAGATACTTTATTTTATTTTATTTATCTATTTTGAGACAGAGTCTCTCTCTTTCGCCTGGGCTAGAGTGCCCTGGCATCAGCCTAGCTCACAGCAACCTCAGCCTCCTGTGTAACTGGGACTACAGGTGCCTGCCACCATGCCCAGCTAATTTTTTCTATTTTTTTTTTTTTTTTTTTTTTTAGTAGAGATGGGGTCTCGTTCTTGCTCCGGCTGCTCTAGAACTCCTGACCTAAAGTGATCCTCCTACCTCGGCCTCCTAGAGTGCTAGGATTATAGGCGTGAGCCACCTTGCCCAGCCTATGACAGATACTTTATACACTCTAACAGAAAAAGCAGGTCAACCTCAAAGCAACTATCAGTGCTTCTACTGCCTGAAGGAGCTGTGACATGATTCCGGTCAGCGGGACACTGAATGCAAAGGTCTGACTAGTCATCTTCAAAGTCCCTTCTAGCTCTAGAAATTGCTGGAGCAAGGAGACCGTATGTAGCATGTGTTTGAAGCTTGACAGTTCTGGGTTGCTAAAAAGTGAGACTTAAGAATAAGGAGCCTTTTGTTCAGCAAAAACATCAGGTCTACGGCCGTGGAAATGTAGACATCGGGGTGGAAAGCGAGTTGGTCCTATATAACAGGAAGGTGAGAACTGAGTATCTGTGTGTGTGTGTGTGGGGGGGTGGGTGCCCTGAGCACCAAGGGATCCAGAAAACAGAGAAACAGGGAGACATGGGGAGAACCCCAAGAGGGGGTGGGTGCGTGTGGAGGGGTGCGCTGGCACGGCAGAAGGCTGGAACCTATAGGGAAGTGGCTGGTGAGATCAGCCATGACACTGCTGACACGAGAGAAGCTGGACACCCCATTTTAAATTGTTCAGGTTTTAGCCACTTCATCCCCTCTCCATGGCCCCAAACCATCTGCAAAGCCTGCTTCACACAAGATCTCTCCTGTGGCTGTGTTTTGGAGGACAGCTGGCCGAGTTTCACAGTCTGTGTTGGTCTAGAGCAGCAAGAGCAGCTGATGAAGGGGAGAGATGCGTGAGGTCAAAGTTTGGGAAGAGCTAGAATTTGGAGCCAAAGTGACCGGGAGGATGCAAGGCTCTGGGAATGTCAGTATGGACGTGAGGCTTTGCCAGGACATAGGGTTGTGCTTGACCGATTTCATCTCAGTTTCAGAGGGCAGGTTGACATCCAGTTGGGTTTCGATAAACATGGTCTCTGTTTTACGGATGAGAGAATCAAAGTCTAGAGATGCCCATAATCTGGCCCAGTCACGCAGTCCCTAAATGGCGACTCTGGGGCCAGGCTGCTCCAGTATTGAAGTCAGCGAAGTGCAGGAATTTGCAGAACTACAGACCCACGCTATCAAAGCATCCTCCCCTGCACTAGGGGCCGCCAAACTTCCTTCTGCGAAGGGCCACAGAGAAAACATTTCAGGCTTGGCAGACCATTCCGTCTCTGTCATGACTACTCAGTTCTGCCACTGTACCATGAAAGCTGCCATAGACAGTATGTAAATGAACAGATGTGGCTGTGTTCCAATAAAACTTTATTTGTGGACACCAACATGTGAATTTTATATATTTTTCATGCATAATAAAATATTAGTCTTAAAATGTTGTTTTTTTCCCCAACCTTCATAAAACCATTTTTAGTTCGGGGGCTCTACAAAACCAGGCAATGGGACCATGGTGTGCTAACCCCTCCACTGTGTGTTTGTAAGTGAACAAACGGGTCAACAAGAGAGCTTTAGAGAGGACAGAGGAGTGATAAGGATCATGGTCTTCCTTCCTGGGAGACACTTGCTGAAATTTACTTAAGGCTCTTCCTGGACAAATTAGTGTGTTGTAGTCCTGTTCCTTTTAATCTGATAGGTTCAAATGCAGCATTCTTTTCCGTGGACACATCACACCCCCTCCTGACCTCACTTGCTCTGTGTGTGTGTGTGTGTGTGTGTGTGTGTGTGTGTGTGTGTGTGAATGCAAAGTTCTGACTAGTCATCTTCAAAGTCCCTTCTAGCTCTAAAACGGTCAGATCCCGAAAACAATATCCAATGTTCAGGGCAGATTTTTCTCTTGCTCACTCCTTTTTCCTTTGCTTTTTGCTCTCTCGTCCTCAGTCAAATGCTACAAACATCCTTTCCTTTGACTCTACCTCCTCAAAGATAACTGTCTTTCAAGGCTGGTGGGATTATCGTCTTCCAAAGCATCTCAGGAAAAAAACAGTTGGAATATCTAGGATAAGAAAAAGAGCCAGCAAGAGGTGAAGGAGTGTGTAATTGCCATTCTTTGTGTTGACTTGTAAAGCCGCATGTTTTAACCATCTCATGATAGCAGGGATTTTTCTCTGTGTGTGTGGGGTTTCTTTTGAGAGGCAAATGTAATACTCTCATGTTTTAAATTTTTTTTCAGGAAAAAATAAGGGGAATTCATCTTCTTTGGGATTAACGAAATCTGTCTTCTTTCATGTTGACAACATGAGGTTTTAGCAGATCTCTGATCTTGTGCTAATAAAAATTTTAGTATTACAATGGCGCACAGAGGCTGGGGGCTTGAACCCAATTTGGATTACCGTGCGCGGCAGCAGGGATGCTGTGACTAATAGGGCCAGCCTTTGCAGGGGACCCTGAGGGACAGCCTCAGGGGACCGAGCCCTACACACTCTGACTATTGTTCCACCTTAATCTGAGGCCAGCTACCAGGAGGCACACTCAGAGCTCAGGGGCGGCAGGCCTGCATCAAGCTGTCAGCTGGGTGGACACGAGGTGGCGCCCGTGCAAAAACCCCAACGGACGTGGAGCTGGGAAGCATAGGAGAGTCAGGCTGTCGGTTAAGGCAGTTCACCTCTGGGAGTCTCAGTTTCTCCATCTATAAACTTGGGTTAGTCACACTTGTGTGTCAAGGTCTCACCAGCCTAGTGGTAAGAAGGGGTCACAGAAATGCGTTTGGGAGTTAGTTGGCCCATCACTGGGTACTCGCAGCACCTTGGCACTCCTCTCTCCCCTGGCCCTCGCCAAGCTCCCGTTTTCTTGTTGTTATTTCTCAGCCTTCTCAGGTGGTGCTTTCAGTGTGTGCTGACACAGGTCACCTGGCCCTGAAGCAGCACTGCTGACATCCGGAGTCCACAGCGCCACTCGTGAAACCGCTCTTTGGGCTCCGGCACTGCACTCCCAAGGGGACTGCAACATGTGGGGTTTTGGGGGAGAGAGTGGGGCCAAGCTCTCCATTTCCTTTGTTTCTTATGGTTCCCCAAGTAGTGTGCTAACTTTTTCCCTCTTTTCAGTCAAACAGAAGCCCCAGCATGTGCTTCCTGGGGCAGGGATGCTCGCACGCTGCCCCCACGTCCCCACCGTGGCCCGAAGCCCCTGCCATGCACCTACTGTGCACCTGCTATTTCTCTGCGTAGCACGGGGCTCTAGAGATGTTCATAGGAACGACAGGAAATGAAATCTGATAATGGGAGCGGCCCACAATTGGTGAGCGCCTGCTGTCTGCCAGGTGCTGCTGTGCTGAGCACTTTGTGTGCTGTATCTCACAGGATCTGTGAGAAAGCGAACGCTGGGGAAGAGAGACAGGCATAACGCATGTTAAGAGGCAGCAGCAGGATTCAAACCCAGGCGCTCTCTGATTCCAGGACCTGCCTTCTCGTTAAGTACCACTGTGTGCACGTAAATGACTTTCCCAGAGAACGGCACGTGGTCACTCTTGGTACTTGTCCATCCTATCTGTAATTTCATGTTGTCTCCTAAGCTCTTCCCAGCTGCCTTCAAGAAGGCAGGACAGAGACAGCAACAGAGACAGAGACCTGGGAGAAGACCAACAAAAAGCAACAAAGGAGTGGCCCAGGCCATAAATACTGCTGGTTCCCAGGAGAGGCGCTGCCGGTGGGCTGGGGTTTCTCACTGCAAAGAGACTTTGAGGGCACAGAGAATTTAATAAGTAGAGGTGAAAAAAAGGAAGTTGAGGTAGGGGATATAGGAGCCATTATCTCTTGAAAGCCAGCATTTCTTAGCTTTTGAGAGCTTCCTGTGTCAGAATTATTTAGGGTAATATTAATAGTTTAAAGTTATTTGGGATGCTAGTTTAAAAGCATCCTTATGGATAGTAATGCATCAAACAGAGAAAATAATTCCCACCTCATGGGATCGTCGTATCCAAGGGCAGTGATGATGGTGATGATGATGGTAGCTATTTCCTTAGTGTCTTGTAAAAGGTGCCTCGATTTTCTTCATTCCCAGTTATACTTTATTTCTAAACTCTTCAAGAAATCTTAGAATGCTGCTTTGCTCGCCTTCCCTGAGAAGTTGATGACTTTCTACAGAACACCAAACTCCTCTCTCTGGCAGCCTGGAGCTTCTAGACTGTGGCCCAGATTACTCTGCCAGCTCCAGTTCTTATTTCTCCTCTATACAATCCCCCTATTGGGCAAAACTAATTCTACCCGTTGCCCTCATTATAATCCCTAGTATTTTCTTTTTCACTTCTCTGTGTCTCGGTTTCCTCACCTGTGGAATATGGTTTTAATGATGGTTAAATGTGATAATCCGTGAGAGTGCTCAGAACAGAGTCTGGAGCATAGTAGACACTCTGCATGTGTTGAAGGTGATTCCCGATGTCTCTGCAACTTTTTTTTTTTTTTTAGGAGGATCTATTCCTGATTTCTGTCTTTATCAGTCCATAGATGCAAGTATATTTTGTCTAAATGGATGCAGGTAGACAGAGGCTGTGCACCTGCATTTCGTTTTGAAATCCCAGCGAATAATTTGACAATTCCGCTCATTTCGTCAACATTTATTTTGTGTCTTCAGTGCCCAGTGCACTGCGTGAACAACTAACTGTCTTGGCTGGAAGTTAAACGGGAACACTCGAATGTCTCCTGGACAGGCACAATAGCTGCTATTCACCCACCAGGACTGAACCAGTTTGCCTCTTTCCTCAATAGCACCGTCTTCAACTGTCCTCCTGGCTTGTACAGCTCATAGTTCTTTCTGCCCAGTTGAGAATGTCACTGCTGCCTATGATTTTATGGTATTTTCTTTTTCCAAGCTCTACTTCCAGATCTCGAAAGGCCAAATATCTTCTGTGTCCTGAACAGTCCGGCATTCCTCTGCTCTTCTATCCAGGATGGCCTTCATGCTTGATGGCAACTGTCTGGCAGGCTCCATCCAGGACATAGTGAAGAAGAGAGGTAAAAGTATTTCTAAGGTTGTGAATGAACTTTCCATAATTATGCCATTAATTCTTTTGATTTGGGGGCCTGCATAAGCTTCTTATGTTGTTGTCTGGCATCTAGGTGTAGATTCAACAGATGCCTCCAGCTATTCTTTTTTTGCTCTTTTAGGAGAAGTGAATCCTGTGTGTAATGCAAACAAATAGAAGAATTGAAAGCTAAATATCTTGTTTATATGGTTACTGTATACCAGTCTCCTGATACCTCATGCTTATAATTTTAATGTGTGTTTCTTTCAGAACTATTATAACAATGTTAAAATGGAAATGAAGGTCAGAAACATCCAATCTCACTACGCTAAACAAATTGAAAGCTTTCAATTTTCTGTTATTCATTCCAGTTCCTTTTAAAATGCATATATATGATTTTTGCATAGAGTCATAAGACAGCTGGTAATAGTAATTTTAGTAAATAGTAAAGCTATTATTTATGAGCATTTTTACAGGATTCTTTTATTTTCCTTTTTTTAACAGGCATTTGTTCTCACTGTTTGCAAGATACTGGTGTCAATTTGACCCACAGGACTCGAGTGACAAGACGGAGAGCTTCGCACCTGTAGAAGGCTGTAGCCAGCAGGCTCAGCACAGCGAGCCCTGGCCTTGCCCTGGTCACATGAACACTGTCGTTGTGCTGTGGATGGGGTCTCAGGACGTGTCGCCAAGTGTCGGGAAGTGATGGCGCACACAGGCTAAGCAAATGTCTCGGGGCCACCCTGAGTTCCCCGCAGCAGAGCTCAGCTGCCAGGCAGACGTGAGCCAGGGGCCGGCGACTTTGCCTGGTGCCCCCTTCATGACTTCGTGTTTGGCGTGTATTAGGCTCTCAATACATGCGGTCAGTTGAATGGCGGATGGACAGATGAAATTGCTCATGCCACGCAGCTGCACTTCCTCCTGCTCAATAAGGACTAAAATAAGACCTTCCAGAATCTTGCATTTCAGGTAACAGATGGAAATCTGAGCGTGTGTAAATGAGTGTGCGAGAGCATGCATATGTATGTGAGTGTGTGTGACTGTATGCATGTGTGATCGTGTGAGAGTGGGCGTGTCTGAGTATGGGTGTGAACATGCACGAATGTGTGTGAGAAAGCGTGTGAGTGTGCAACGTGTGCGAGTGTGTCTAGATGCGGGAACAGTGGTGCTGGGGACATGGGCACAGGTGCTGTCCCGTTGCAGTGCCTGCTACATTTTCTCACTCAACCCTCTCCGCAATGCCATGTGGCAGACTTTGTAGTCTGCGTTTACCAGATGAGGAAATTAGATTCAGAGAGATGAAGTGCCCTGTCAAGGTCATTCTGATGAGTGGCAGAGCCGAGCCTTGACCTTCAGCCACCAGAGGCAGTGACCTTCTCACCTTCTCACCATACTACGCGGAACAGCTCGGCTGGCCAGTGCCGAGGCCCTGACATTGTTTCAGGGCAAGGAAGCCGGGTCCGTGTCGGAGGAGGGAGCTGTGCATCCTCAGAAGTCCTGGAGGGGAAGCCACTTAGGGGTCTCCACGTGGGGCGGGGGCAAAGCTGACACCTTAGGCAACTGCCCACATGTGTGAGCACCCCTGGGAGGAAAGAGATCAAAGAGAGAGACAGCCCTCCTGCCGTGGAGCTGGAGCATTTTGGTGGATGGAAATTTCCATGGATGCTTAGGCCTTTCTGCCTGGCTTTACATGGAAATGGAGTTTAGAGCTACTGGCTGGAAGGTCACCTTCACAGAAAGCATCTTGCCTTCTGTGGCCTCCCCTTCCCTAGCCTCCTTCCAGTAAGACTCAGGACGGAAGGTCCCCGATCCCGACCAAGGACACAGGCCAAGTCAGTGAAAAAAGGCACTGTTTCTAAAGCATAAAGAAAACCCTTTACAAACCCTTTACTTTTAAAATCCCAGTATCCATGACAACTGGACAGAGTGAAGAAAATGGCTGTCCCCTCCCCTCCTCATTGTTTAACTTTCAGTTGCTGCAGCAACTGAACACACTGGGCCCAGCCAGATCCTCTGGGCGCTTTCTTCTTCTTCAGTCCCTTTTATCGAGGCCCCTCCGCGGTGCCAACGCTGCTTTGTCTGCGCTGGAGAAGACTGTGAGAACCAGGATGGGCAAAGTGTCAGGCGCTGGCTGCTGTTGGAAATCCTTTGAGATGGGAGAAATTGCTGGAACAAAGGGGCAGGAGAACAAAAAGCCCTGAATTGCTTGCCCCTGCCTCTAAGGGTCTTTATCATCTTAAACCTTGGGATTTGAGAGTGTCTAGCTTTGCCTTTCCCAGGAATGGTTTGGCAGAAATACAGAGAGAGGGGGTCTAGCAAACTGGTTGGACAACAGTCTCAGCAGAGACTGCTTCCCAGGGAGACAGAGCCTGGTTAACCCAGGTCTTCCTCCTCTCCTTCCTTCCTCCATTCCTTCCTTCTTTCCTTCCTTCTCTCCTTCTTTCCTTCCTTCCTTCCTTCTCTCTTCCTCCTCCTTCTCTGTCCTTCCTTCTCTCTCCTTCCTTCCTTCTCTTCCTTCTTCCTTCCTTCTTCCTTCCTTCCTTCCTTCCTCCTTTTCTTCCTTCCTTTATTCTCTCCCTCTCTCTTTCTTCCTTCTTTTTTCCCTTCCTTTCTTTCCTCTTTCTTTCTTTCCTTCCCTCTTTCCTACCTTCCTTTCTTTCTATCCTTCCTGTCTTTCCTCTTTCTTTCTTCCTTCTTCCCTCTTTGCTTACTTCCTTCTCTTTCCTTCCCTCTTTCCTTCTCTCTCTCCTCCTCGCCTTCTCCCTCTCTCCTTCCCTCTCCTCCTCTTCTTCTTCCTCTTCCTCATTCCTTCTTCCTTCTCTTCTTCTCCTTCCTATCCTTCCTTCTCCTTCCTTCCTTCCTTCTCTTCTTTCCTTCTTCTCTTCTTCCTTCTTCCTTCTTCCTTCCTTCCTCCCTCCCTCCTTCTTCCTTCCTCCCTTCCTTCCTCCCTTCCTTTTCTTCCCTCTTTCCTTCCTGTCTTCCCTCCTTTCTTTCTCCCTTCCTCCCTTCTTTCCTTCCTGCTGGAGGTGGGGATGGCAAGGAGAGGGTGGACTGGAGAGGTGTTTAGGAGGTAAAGCTGATGAGACGTAGTGGATTGGATATTGTGGGTTGTGGGCATGGGGGAAGGGAAGGGTCAAGGCCCATGAGTTGATTTCTCAGGGCTCCTGCAGCAAAATTCTGCAAACTATGTGGCTTAAAAGAACAGAAATGTGTGTCTCGCAGTGCTGGAGAGGAGAGGTTGCAAAGCCAAGTGCTGGCACAGTGGAGGGGAGTCTGTTCCGTATGTCTCTCCTCCCTTCTGGTGATTTGCTGGCAATCTTTGGGCTTCCTTGGCTTAAAGAAGCATCACCCCAATCTCTGCCTTCCTGTTCGCATGGTGTTTTTCCTGCACACAGGTGTCTGTGTCCACATTTCTCCCTTTTTATAAGGACATCAGTCATACTGGAGTAGGGCTCACCCTACTCATCTTAAGTAATTATAACTACAATGACCCCATTCCAAATAGGGTCTCATTCTGAGGTATTGGGGGTTGGGACTTCAACATATCTTTTTGAGTGGACACAATTCACCCCATAACAGACCACTTCTGGGCTTCTGGCTCTATCTTTGGAGGAACAGTGGTGCCATCCTGTGACAGTGGAGAATGGACAAAAACCATATTTCAGGGAGGAGACCTTGAGTTTGTCTTAGATCTGTTTAGTTCAATGTACCTTGAACTCATTCATTCATTTTCAAATGTTCGTTAAGTGACACCATGTGGTGGGTTACAGGGCAAGGAGCTGGGACATAAATATGCGCAGATCAGACAAGACTCCTGCCCTGGAGGAGACAAGGAATCTGATGGGGATAGACCCCAAGCACACGTATAAAGTATATAGTTGCAGGTGTAACAGGTGCTATGAGGGAGAGGTAGTTTGAGTGACATTAGCGGGATTTGATCTAGTAAAAGAGGTCAAGAAAGGGTTCCTTGAGGAAGAGGTACTTAAAAAGAGATAACGAGTGAAAGAGAGGTAGAACAGACATTGTGGACCGGGAGAACAGTGTATGCAAAGGTCCTGCGGTGAGCCAGAGCAGAGAGAACGAGGAATGGAAAGCTGGCTCGTGCGACTGGGATGCAGAGGGCAAAAGGCAGTACAGGGTGGGATGGGCCCGGGTGAGTGAGCATTCACCGGGCTATACCCTGGAAGCCAGTTTGCAGAACTTAATGTGGATCCTAAGAGCAGGGGGAAGTGCAGGAGGATTCTGAGCCAGGGTGTGGCAGGATTTAATGCACAAAAAGCATCTCTCTGCCTCCAGTTTGGCTGAAGGTTAAGGGGAGGGGAGAGTGGATCCCGACTCATGAAGTCCAGGTGAGAGACAAGGGTGGTGATGGAGAGGGACACGTCGAGAGATACCTGGAAGGGAAATGTGATTGGCCTCAGTGACCAGTTGGGTACAGAGTGAGGAAGAGGGAAGTGTCGAGGATGAATTTTGGGTTTCTTGCACCTGCTCTAGCATGGCAGAGAACACTGAGTGAGGCCAGGCTCGGGGAGAGAGTGGTGGGTTTGTTCTGGAAAGGTTGGCTTTGGGGCATCAGAACCATTCATGAAAAGGGGCTGGAAGGCTGCTGGATACTCCCACCCAAGCTTGGGGAGACCATGGCCAGGTGCGTGAAGGCAAGACCCAAAGCAGATTCAGGGCGCCAAGCCAAGCCGGCAAAGCTTGCTGTCTCTATCATGGCAAAGGGAAACGACTGTATGTGTGTGCAGTTGCAGGAGGCTTGCAAGCTTAGTAACAAGAATATGAGGGAGTGAATTTAGTAAATTTTCCAAATTTACTAAAATAACATTTTACTTCTGCAATCAGAAAAAAACCCTTATTTTTTTTTTTTTTTAGAAAAGTTTATATAAATCCTTTGTTACTACTCTTTTTTCTTGAGGGGAGACTTGCATATTATTAATTCAAAAAGTTATTGTTAAACCTTTTCTAGCTTAAAACAGCAAAACAACCAGGTATCTGTTAAGAAATGTCTTTAGCTTAAAGTACTATAGAGAAGGCCATGTTGATTTCAAGGTGATATCCTCATTTCCTAAAGCTACAGCTTTTCTGCCCGTAGGTCATGACTGTGAAACCTTTGCTCCCTGGTGCGCATGCAGTGAGAGGCCGAGAGAGCAGAGCCAGCGTGCTGGCCGGGCGCAGCAGCCCCGGACATACTCGAGAGCTGCATTCCAAGCACACCCGTGGCATCTTTGATAACTCTGATGATTTTGATAAGTAAGATAATTATAAAATTGTTCAGATTTGAACACATTATATTATTTTATTTGCAACAATAGTGTATTATTAAATGTTGTAAGTCAATGCTTTTAGTTTTGATAACTTTATGCCTTTTCCAAATGAGAACATTCATGGAAGAGAAGAAGATCCTTTGCTGGATCTTGCATGTTAGCTGCATGAGGGTAATGCTAGCTGCAGTAACAAAAGACCTAACCAATTTTAATGGCTCAACCCTTAAAGTAATACAGAGAGGTCTGGTCACCTGCTCACACAGCCAGGAAACTAAAGGACCAGCATTGCTGGCCTGGGCAATTTGACTCCAGAACACTCGTTTTTTTTTTTTTTTTTTACCTCTTCCCTATATTACCATCCAACATGCTAATACACCTCTGAAATGTTTCTTCCCTCTCTTTTTCATATTCAGGAGGATAATCTAATATATACTCTTGCTGTAGTATGGAGCTAATTAGGGACATGGAGGAGGTAAAATGCTAGCACATCCAATGTTATAGGTATAGATCTACAAAATTAGCTTGTCCGAAGCAATATACATGAAACTACAGGTTAGTAGGACTATGCATAGCCAATATGCATTTAAATAAATGCATAACTGCCATAAAAATGTTTCCATTTGTACTACCCAAAATTGTCTCACGCGAGATGCACTTAGGGAAGTGAGGCATTAAACCTAGAGCCTAGACAGTGTGTAGACTGTGTTCTGGAACCCGCCACAGGGCAGAGGAGACAGGCCGTTGTTACAAGCACAGCCTGCCTGTACCAAGGATGGCACACAGTGACCTGCAGACCTTGCCCACAAAACAGCCTGGGGTCTCCCGAGAGACCGTTCCAGGATGCAAACCTGGGGCAGCAGGGCCTGGTGGGGTGCTGGAGCTGCACCTGTGAACAGGATCTGCATCTCCGCCCCTCCCACCCCCCTTGTACCTCTGCCTCTGCCTCCTCTGGGGCTGCGGGGGCCGGGTAGTCAAAGGTGGGAAGAATAGAAGGTCCCACACTTTCTGAGATGGCGCCGGAGTCACCCATGCCATGGGAAATCCTGACAGAAGAGGCAAAGAGGCTGACTGCACAGTCCTTTAAACCTGAATGTGGTGTTTCGCCAGTGTCCGCTTGGAGAGGGAGCTGTCCTGGCTGAGTTAAAACTAAGGATCTGACTTAATCCCTCATCGGGCAGGATAAGGGGTGTAGACACTCAGGCCTAGCCCAGCCTGCACCTTTCTTGGGAATGGTCTGAAAGCGAGAGCTTTGGGTAGCTCTGTCGCTCTGCAGCCCCGTGTCTTTGGCTACGAATTTCTGTAGTCTCAATTTCCTAATGTGTCAAACGGGTGCTAAAACACCATATGCACATGCTTCCCTTTCCAGAACTCCTGCCCCGAGACCCAGTACTTATTTAAAAGTTATGAAGGGTGAGAGTAAGTCAAATCACTTCACCAACCTGTGACTGTTATCCAACATTTTATTGCTGAGTTTAAAAAGTGCACATGCAAGAAGGTTTTCTGACTTTGGAGAGCTTACTAATTGACTGCACTCCCACTTTAAAGCGGTCTATTACATAGCACTTTCCCAATCTCAAAGTTCTTTCCCTCGAACCAGCTGCCCCCAACCTTTTTGGCACCAGGGACAGATTTCATGGAAGACAATTTATCCCACGGGTGGGGGGACCCGGGGGGGGGGAAGGGAGGGAGGAGGTGGGTGGTGGTGGGCAGTGGAGCTTTGTGGCCTGTCCGTAACAGGACACAGACCAGTCGGGGGGGTGGGGACCGCAGCCTTAAGCGAGCTCATAAACCCTAATAAGTTTGTCATAGAAAGAATTTTCCTGTTACTTATAAATCTCTCAGCCATAAAATAATCAATATCCTCCCACCGCCCCAGTGGCATCTACTACACACAAACTCAGAGCCCATAAACCCTGTTTACATCAAGCCCATCTTTTTTCTTTTTCTCCAGCTGAACTGCCATGACAGGCGGTGAAGATGTCGAAGGTGAAGAAGGCCATTTGCCGCAGAAATCCCAATTAAATTAAAGGGCCAGGTGGCTCAGGCCCATGAGACAAGCCTTAGCCGCCTGACGGGTCGATGGTATGTGATCCGCTCCCTGTACAGCCCTCCGCGTGTCGCTGACATCTTCGGCAAGTGACGGGAACTTCCTCTCTTACGGAATCACGTGGTCTGGGAAACCTTTGACAATAAGAAGGCGCTAAGCTGCTCCAGTTTCTTCCCGAACATAATATACGAAGAAAATACAGTTACTTGCCTGCATTTAATTCTGCGTCTAACTGAACCAGAGCATTTGCGATGAAAAACACTTTAAATGGACCCAATAAATTACTGGAAGTTATGGCTAGTGAAGCAATATTGTGATTGTTGGTAGCTAGAACTACTTAACCCAGAGAAGGGCTCCTTGGGGAGTGGTGTGAAACTGAAAGAAATCTTATTTTCTATAAGGCAGAAATTCCCTTGGCTGATTTGGCTGAGGAGAGCTGGCCCAGAGAACGACAGCGTGGGGAGTTGGAACTTGCTGAGTAAGAGACGGAGCTTGCCGAGGACTCCCTAGGTGCCAGGCGCTGGCCCGAGCACTCAGTGTGGGGATAACTCACTTATCTCCAGGGCAACCTTATGAGGTAGGTACCATTAGCACCCATTTTACAGATAAGGAAACTGAGCCACGAGGAAGTGCAGAGCCGAGTCTGATCCCAGGCACAGCCTGGCTCTGCACACTAAGCCACTGCTTTCTTTGCCCTCTGGTGTCTAAGAGCTGAGGCAGGCAGGGGACAGAGGAGAAAGTAAGCGGCATGGCCACAGGATCCTGAGTGGTGGTTGAGAACAGAGGGGCCCAAGCTGCTAGAAAACGTTGCTCAGTGTCCCACGCGAGGTAGATTCTCAGTAAATGTTGAACTGAAATCAAGCATGATGATAGGAGCGGTTAGCTCTGTCTCTCCAGTTCATCAGTATTTGTCTTAATTCTTTGATTTTCTTGTACTTGCCCAACCACAGAAAATGTGTTTTCCTTAAAAAAGATTGCCCAGGTCATGGAAAACTACAGCTAGAAATGCGAGAAGAACTCTTCCCAGTGTTTAACTCCAAATCCGGAGAGGCTGGAGCGATCCTTGCTCATCTGAGGAGCGTCCACCCCCCGCCCCGCTACCCTCCTGCTACCGCCCGTGAGCTTTCTCCTGGTGACGCCTGAACGTTTCCACCGTGAAGTGCAGGTCTAGCTGTGCCACTGTCGCCGCCCACAGAACACACAGGATTCCGGCGAGCAAACCGCCTTGCCCGGAGTCTGCCCGGCATCGGCCACAGGTATGCCGGCAGGAACTCGGGGGGCTGAGCTCGCAGACTTTCAGGATAGAGGTGGGGGAAATCATGTGTTCTCTCAATGTCACCTCTCCCCACCCTCTCGGCTGTGGTCCAGCTGCCATCAGGGTGGCCACAGCGTGGGAGGGAGCCACCTCTCCCCTCGCTTTGTGCAGGGTGCCGTGTCTCTGTTGACCTTCACCTTCCGGATAGATTCCGTGGGTGTTCGCTCGTGTGTGCGGGGTCTTCAACAAGCTCTGTCTCCCTGAGGCTCAGGAAGAGAGGTGAGCTGCCTGGGGGTGCTCACGACCTTTCCGACAGTAAACCAACCGCCAACGACTCCTGCATCGCCGTTGCCGCTGAGGTGACTGTCCTATTTTCCTTTCTACCAGAAATGCCTCCTTCAAAAATCTTGTTTGCTTGAGAGTGAGGCTCAGATCCGAGCCCAGCAGGCAGAGACGACACACATGATGCGGCAGAGCTGGGATGGGCCCCCGGGACCCCTGAAAGGCACAATTCCACCAGTTCTCAGACCTCAGAGCGAGCCGGGCAGCCAGGTGGGGCTGGCCAACGGGCGCTGGGTCACTTTTCCCTGTTGCCCGATGTGCGGCACAGCCTAGCATTTGCACGCTCCTAACCTGGGTTATATGCAAGTCCTGCTTCACCTAGTGGACCCCGACAGCCTGTAAGACAAGGGTCGTCCTCCTCCTCCCGGGCACCAAAGCCTGTACTCCGGCCCTGCCTGGCTCTCTGTCTCCCGGGCTGCTCAATTCTCTCCCTCCTGCGCCCCACACTCCAGCTGTAATGAGTGGCGCCATGCTGTTCCTTGGCAGTGAGCGAGGTGGCCCCTGGGCCAGGCTACTTCCTCTGCTTGGATACCCTTCCTTGCTTTCTTCTTCTGGTTCACATGTCTTCACCCTTCGGGGCTGATCTCGGCTCTCACTTCCTCTGAGAACCTGTCTGACCTCACAGGCCGGGTTAGCCCACTCTGCTTCAGCTATCATCAGATTTATGGAGGATGGGAGGTCATAGATTAAGACATCAGAGAGACCAGGGTTCAAATCCTGGCTCTTTCATCGTTAACTGTGTTATCTTTAGCAAGTTGTTAACTTCCCTGGGCTTCAGTTCCACCATTTGTAGAACGAGGACGTTGACAGTGTTGCCTTAGAAGACTGTTTTGAGGGGTGGATAAGCTGATGTTTGTAAAGCCCTGTATATAGTGGGTTGAATTGTGGCCCTTCAAAGTATGTCCACCGAGGACCTCAGAATGTGACCTTATTTGGAATAAGGGTCATTGCAGATATAATTAAGTTAAACATCTCGAGATGGGATTTTCTTGGATTTAGGGTGTGCCCTAAATTCAACGACAATTTCCCTATAAGAGAAAGCCAGAGGCAGATTTAACATAAAGAGACACAGAGAAGGTTACGTAAAGACAGAGGCAGAAATTAGAGTGATGTGGCCACAAGTCCAGAAACCCCTGGAGCCACCAGAAGCTGGAAGAGGCAAGAAAGGATTCTCCCTAGAGTCTTTGGAGAGAGTGTGGCCCTGCCGACACCTTGATTTTGAACTTAGGTCTCTAGAACTGTGAGAGAATGAATTTCTGTTGTTTTAGGCCACTGAGTTTTTAGTAATTTGCTACAACAGCCCTAGAGAACAAGCACAAGTGTTTAGCATGGTGTGTAGCACATGGTCGACGCTCCGTCCAGGTGGCCTGATAGTATTTCTGGTGTTTTGACGGCACTATGTGAAATCTGTGTCCTGAATTGTGTGTCTGTCTGTTCCACGTCCCCTCCCCCTGACACTGTGAATTTCTCAAAAACACAGAATGTGTTTGTTAACTTGTCTTCTCAACGCTTACCACGATCTCTGGCACACAGTAGGTGCTCAAGCAATGCTTACTGAAAGTGTTTGGGCCAGGACATGCTGACATAGTGGGGATTTCCCCTGTGGGTGTCCTGTGATCACACATCCTGAGTTTTCCCTGCTTTGTCACTGACTCGAATGTTCTAGTTCAGTGTTTGTGCATCCTGCAGTGCCCGGTGCTGGGGGCTGCCCCCTTGGTCTCTCTCGGGAAACAGGTACCAGGCGGTTGCAGCAACAGTGCTTGGCTCAGCCCCCAATGTGGGGGCAGGGCATGGACAGTGGAGAAGGGCTGGGGCCAGGGCGGAGGTGCAGAATGGTAGCTGAGCAGGCTGGTGGGGGTACGTGCTTGACAGAGGAGCTTCTGGAGGCCAGCATCTGGGAGTGGCTTGCCCGTGGTCACAGGACACTTCACGGCATCGTGACGCTGTGAGATAGCTGGGTTTCAGCAGGCTCTGGAGGCCAAAAGCCTGGGCTCACCGCCCAGCCCGGTGCACTCCCGCCTGTTCTCTCAAGCGTGCGAAGATGGCGATAAAACCGCCAAGGCTGAGAATAGGAATTTGAGGTTTACAGGACTTGAGTGATTTGACAGAGGCTACTTAAGGAAGCAGTAGTGCCAGAATTTGCATCCAGTTCTTGGTCATCTGTCTGGGCTTAGGAGGGCTGTGGGTGATGAGGGAAGGGGTGAAGAGGAGAGGGATGTTTGTGTTATTGCTATCTTATAGCAGCCTCCTGAGTAGCTGGGACTACAGGCATGTGCCACGGCACCTGGCTAATTTTTCTGTTTTTAGTAGAGATGGGGTCTCACTCTTGCTCAGGCTGGTCTCGAACTCCTGAACTCAAGTGATCCTCCCTCCTTGGCCTCCCAGAGTGCCAGGATTACCGGCGTGAGCCAATGTGCCCGGCCTTGAGTGTGTGTTTTGAGGTTAAGAAAACCTTTATTCAGAGGTTGCAAGCTGGAACTTCTAGGTCAAATTTTCCTTCCATCCACAGTAATTTTTGAAATTTGGAATCCGAAAGTCTAAACGGCTTGTACCTTCTCCATCTGGCCAACTCCCCGCCATCCCCCACTTACAACTGTCTTACAGCTGGCTGCATATACATATATGTGTTCCCTGCCTGATCCCTGCAGACATTGAGTTGGTCACCTGTGGCATTATACAAGAAAGGGTCACATTGTAGAAAGAAGCAGAGATAAAGTGGAGTGGGACATATTTGCCTTCTTTATTTCCAACATACTATTAGCTCAGGCCTCATCATCTCCAGAATGAAGTCCCAGTTGCCTTTAGTATTTAAGACTCTCTTGGCCCGGTGTCAGTTTACTTCTCAGCTTTACCTGTCAGCACTGCAGGGCCCCCTAGTTGGTCCTTCTCCATCTTACCTGGAATGGCATCCTGGGTTAGTGCTGTCACAGCAGGACTTTATGTATTTTTGGCAGTGCCATGATACAGGGTACAGAGGTCACTATTAGTGTCACCCCTGCTGGATTTGAGTCCACGGATCTGTTTCATTTGGCCCAGAGAACGTTTGACAATATTTGAATTGCCAACATCTAAAAACCTGGGGTTTTCACATAAAATTACAGATGTCCAGCTTCTCTTAGAAAATGAACGATCCGGCAATACTGGAACCATGTTCCTGTGAGGCCACACGCAGGGGAGCTGAGTGGCTGCGGCTCCTGTACACAGGGCACGGGCTCTCCTGTTTTCTCATGGGCTACCCAGCCTGCCTCCTCCAGTACGCGCTGAACAGCCCCCTGCGGGCATTTGTACCTTTTGTGTTGGGGAAAGAGTAAAGAAAAGCAAGGCAGGCAGGACTGACTCTGTCTGTGAGGTATTTGGGAAGATGACTAAGGAAAAGGTTTGAGCTGGACCTTGGGAGATGGTTCTTGGGAAACATAAAACAGATCCTGAATTCAGCAGGACTTTGGCGTTGCTGGGGGTGTCCCGGAGATGAATGTAAAAGCTGAGGCTTCCATGCTAGAGCCTGACCGATGCCCCTGGCTTTCTTGTCCCCAAGAGCCTCTCTAGTCTGTCCTCTGTCATTCTCCCCTATGGCATCATCCTAGTTCAGGGCCACATTAGTCCCCCATAGAGGACTTGTGCTCACTCTTTCTAATTTAGATGTGGCTGCGAGACTGGTGACATCAGCACCTGGGGCCTCCCCTGGACAGGTACGACCTCAGACCCCACCCCAGGCCTCTGATTAGGAATGTGCGTAGTAACTAGACCTCCAGCCGAGATGCCTATGCACATGCGATTTTGAGAAGCATTGCTCTAAGGTAGTGGTTCTGGACCTTGTGTGTATCTTACAATCATTTGGGGAACATTAAAAAATACTTTAGTTCAATTCCACACCCAGACCAATTAAATCAAATCTCTAGGGGCAGGTCCCAGACGTTGGAGTTTATTAAAACTCTCCAGGTGATTCCAATTTGCAGAGAATCAGTGCTTTAGGACAGAGGTTCTCCAAGTTGGCTGCATATTAGACTCACCTGGAAATCTTTTGCAACGTCCTAAAACCAAGCCACACCCAGACCAATTAAATCAGTATCTGGGGGGCCAGGGTGACACCAGCACCTACATCTCTGAAACCTCCCAGGCGACTGCAGTGTGCAGCCAGGATCGAGAACCAGTGTTTTAGAGCTCAGCTTAGGCGTTTCTCCTTCCTAACAGCCCCTACTCCCATGATGGGCCAGGTGCCGTCCTCCTACTCCCATGATGGGCCAGGTGCCGTCCTCCTACTCCCATGATGGGCCAGGTGCCGTCCTCCTACTCCCATGATGGGCCAGGCGCCGTCCTCCTATTCCCGTGATGCTCTGTGCACATCCGCCATCTCTCCGTCTGATTACCTGTTCTGTGTCTGTCCTCACCCACCCTGTGAGGTTGGGAGTTGCTGGAGAGTAGGAAGCATGTTTTACTTTCCTTTGTTCTCCTTGTGCCTTGCACAATGTCTGGCATATACAACGTACTCACCGAGAAGTTCTTCTTTTTCTGTTGCTTTTATTATTATTTGAATCCTGAAAGCCTATGGTCGGTCAGAGCTACAGCGAGGAATGCTCCACCCAGTGCAGGGGGCATTGGATGAGGGGAAGTTGGAGGCAGGCAGAGCAGCTAGGGGGCTGCCGAGATGGTCTCGGTAGG